CACTGCATCACGCACAATGTATTTTTGCCCATTTCACTTAACTACTAGTATATTGTTAAACTTATGTATGCGACTTAACTATTGCAATGACTGAACAAAGCAGTAAAACTCACTACTTACTTATTTGTTTGTGCTGTTTGGAACGATACGTAATAGCATTGGGTAAATTAGTATCATACTTACACAGCCCGCAACTAAACTCGATTATATTATACGTACTTTTAATTGGTATGCCCTTTCACGGTTTAAATACACATTATGACACTGTATTCATCACATGAATGATTTAAACCATTGTAGCGCGAAAAAGACAAACTACTATTCGTTGCTTTTCATTAAAAAACCGGCTAATTGCGATGCGGTTTCATGCACGAACGGTTCCGTATCTATCTTTACAACATGAGACTCTATATTATAATATCAAGAAAAAAATGACAAATAAATAACGTGTGTATCGCAGCCCCCTTAAATAGATATTTTATTTAAATTTAATTTTTTTTGAAAGCGAATATACAACTAAGCATTTTGTGAATATTTCAATCATCTACTTGTTTTCGTTATTAATATACAGCAAAAACGACAAAAAAAAAATCACGTTTGTTATATGGGGCTCCCATACAACCAACGTGATTTTTTCCCCTTAAATATCTATTTTATTCTGTTTTTAGTATTTGTTGTTATAGCAGCAACAGAAATACATCATCTGTGAAAATTTCATCTGTCTAGCTAACACAGTTCATAAGATATAGCCTGGTGACAGACAGACGGATAGACAGGCGGACAGCGGAGTCTTAGAAATAGGGTCCCGTTTTTGTCCTTTGGGTATGTAACCCTAAAAAATAATGTTAAATATGCTTTCTTAGACGATGCAGCTAATGAATGGTTCATTGGGATATATCAACGGTCTACTGGATACTATAATGTCACATCGTCTCATTTAGTAAAACAAATGACCTTATTTTATTATAGCTAAATGAAACTTCACGGTAGCACGTGATCAGACGACCCATGACTTGAAAGGCTTTCTATTCCCGAGTAACAATTTTCGAGCGTCACTGAGCTGGAGTTATAACTTTGTTAGCGTAGATATGGATGATATCATATATACTTGTATTGATCTGATTACCTCTCTCGCTCTCAATTACGTCATAACTTTTTGGTTCGTCTGCAACGGAGACGTCACGGATCCGTGACGTATTGTTACGTCATGGATGATAACGCATGCGTCGTTGTGATCCTTTTGCGGCTATATTTAGTCTGAAGAAAATAGGTTTGTAATTTATGTACATAAATCTACGCACGCAAACAGATAACGGCGTAGGTGGAGGTGGGGATATTTTTTAAAAATAAATTTACTGTTATGAATGCCTCAAAAAATTTTCCTGCTAAGGAAAACAAGGGTAAATATCCTTTTTTTTCTTCTTATTGGAAAATGAACTCGACAAATTCCTTGAAGTCGATATACCTCAGTTCAGTTGCATAAAGATATCATAAATGTTTAAGGTGTGCAAATGGGTAAGAAACACATCCAAGTACACCCAGTTGGTATATGTGGATCACGACCATCGAAAAACAAAAAGCATATAACGGAGTTGTTATAAATAGTGTAAAATGAATATGCTCATTTATTTTTTATTGTACACAAAACACGATTTGAGAAGGTGTAAAGGACTTGGCTCAGTTAAAATTGAAGCAGGTATGGTATACAATTGAGGAGCTCGATGGCGCAGGTGCTTAGAGGATTCGGCCTGTGATCGTGAAAGTTAAGCAACCTTCGCAATGGTCGGTTACTGGATGGGTGACCAAAAACTTATTATCTCGAGCTCCCCCGTAGTTCGGAAGGCTAGTTAAGCCATTAATCCCGGCTGCATCTGCAGTCGTTAGCACCCACCATCCATAGGAAAGGCCTGTACTGTACAGCAATACGAAACTCTACTACGCTAGGCCCGTGCAGTGGCGACATTAATAGGCTGATGATGATAATGATAATGATACACCCTAATTACAAACTACATACAAGTATCTGGGGTATTATAAATCAAAAGTGTACACACATTAATACCTATTCTCATCAAAAGAGTCTAAGCAACATCAACTTTTTTGAGCTTTTAACCGATTTTAAATATTTTTAAATACTTACTTATATTATTTTGTTAATAATAACCAATTGGTTTATTAGTGACTACAGTAAAACAACCTTTGAATAAATTAAACATTTCATAACGATTATATAAAATATCAACAGATAAAACTTGCAGTTTGAGTAAATGGTGCATGTTGCTTAGACTTTTTTGATGAGTGTACATACATATATACCACAGTAATTATAATTTAAGACAAAGAATTATTAGGACATATTCATGAAATTATGGCAAACTAATTGATTTTTATAATTTCTATGCGAGGAGTTTGAAAAACAGGCTATGATGAGTGCGGACTATTCGTCCGCCTGGTAGTATATCTTCACCATGCGTCACGTATATTTTAGTGTTATTTTTATGACGAGAAGGAAACGCACGTAGCTATGTGAAAATCTATTTCCAGGTGCGAAAATCGAAAAATGACCATCAAGGGCTATCCCAGGCATCAGTTTACCGAATCACGAATGAAGTGGTGATTGTCCATTAATATGATTGGTTAGTCGTCCGGCTATGACTGAGAGATGACAAACCTTGTTCTTACCCTAATGGGGTGGCTGCGGCTATGACAGCAGTGTTCTTTAATCTCCGTTGGATACGGGACCAAAAAAATAAAAACCTACTTTATAAAAACAAAATCCAAAATGTGAACGCCGCGTTTTGTTTTGTCTTTATGATAAAAAAGCCCGTGCCAGTGCGAATCGGACGCGTACACGTAGAGTGTGGTAGAGTTCAGTCGTTGTACAGTATTTCGACCACAAAACCACAAAAAAACATGTTTTGTACAGATAATATAAGTATTAAAAAAAACAAAAAAAAATGTCTTTTTTTTAAAGGAAGAGGGTTTCGTGTTCATCTATCGTATACTACATAAAAATGCAATATTACAGTTTAAATGAAGGAAAGCTTATGGAATATATAGCTCTTTCCAATAAATTAACAACAGCGGGTTGTTTTCACAATAATAATAATAATAACAACGCAAGACAACAAGAGAGAGATATTAATTAAACCTACTTAGAAATCTTATTTATATTTACAAAATACTTAGATATCTCAATAATAAAAGACAATAATGATAAATATACTACTAATAAACCTATAACTAATAACAGAATTAAAATTAAAAGAAAATATAACTAGAAAAAATTCCTGCCACTCCTACTAGAAAAAGTTACATGCTTTAAAATAATAAAAATTATAAGAATTAAAATTTGTATAAGTATTTAAGTGCACACAAAGCGCAGGACCTTTGTTTTTGGAAAGCCCGAAGGCTTTTCAGGTCCTGCAGTGGACGATGCGATGGAGGTACTCAATTCGACGCGTATTTATTTTATGTACGTATAACTTTCTACTTTTTTTCTAGTAAACTTTTCTTTAGATTTCTACAGAGTAGTCCGTTTGGATGATCCTTTTTTTATTGGATAGAGTATTCCTCGAATTTGATCCCAATATATAATAAATTCCCTAAGAGTGAATAATTGGGGTGATTAGTTACTGACAGATTTTGGTGCCGAGTTGTATAATACAAAAATTAAACAAAAAATTATAAAATCACCGACACCAAATATTAATTTGGCTATAGATAAAGAAGGTGTATTATTTTTGCTTTTCGGTGGTTAAATTTTTGGTAAAAAGTTTTTATAATCCAAAAACGGCAAACACGCATTTCTGTATTTCATAAAGGACATTGGGCAAAAATGTATGGACGCTGCACCCACGTCCGCCACTGCTTAAACTACACTTGTTTGAAAGGTATTGTAGTCATGATCATTTGTGCCAAAGCGCATCAAATTCCATCCCGGGGGTCTTTAGTTATTTTAAGTTAAATAGGTACAAGTACTATAACGAACGAACATTATTGAAACAATGGAATTAATTTAGTTAGTTAGTTCGACACTACATAGGAGGCTCAGGTATTATGGGAGTACTTTACAAGGTTCAAGGGTAATAGTAAATTATTAATAATTATTATATATTATAATTAATAATATTTATATGTTATTATGAGGAGCTCGATGGCGCAAGTGGTTAGCGCGTTTGGCTGCGATCGTTGAAGTTAAGCAACTTTCGCAGTGGTCGGTCATTGGATGGGTGACCAAAAATTTAATAACACGAGCTCCTCCGTGCTTCGGAAGGCACGTTAAGCCGTTGGTCCCGGCTGCATCTGCAGTCGTTAGCACCCACCAATCCGCACTGGGCCCTCGTGGTGGGTCATGGCCCAATCTCCCTATTCCATCCATAGGGAAGGCCTGTGCCCCAGCAGTGGGGACATTAATAGGCTGATGATGATGATGATTATAATTAAGTTATTCTGCCGCACTATAGTAAATCCAAAAATCCCCGCATGGGTTGGGGTTTTTTCAAACATTCTTTTCGTTACAATTTACTATGTATAAACATAGTAAATTGTCTTCTTTGTAAAACGGAGTGATCACAAAGCGCCCAAACTTGTCCACGTTTCGGAGAAAACATGATTCCAGTTCATCCATATTAATTGACAAAACTATGTTGGATAAAAATCAATCAAGTGTCAGGGAGCGCACATCACAATGAAGTAAGACGAGTCGACTATTTGCAAGTACAAGCGCACGATGGTCGGCAGGCTTTTCGTATATCTGTATATAGTACGATAAGGCATATTATTATGGTTACTAATAATATAAAATAAAGGTACTATAAAATTAATTTATTGAGCTACTTAAATATGCCCACGTCTTCATCTTTTGACTACCAGGGTATTTTTTACGGTGCAATATCTTTTGACTACCAGGATTTTTTTTACGGTGTCACATCTTTTGACTCCCAGGATATTTTTTTACGGTGTCATAATAAAAAAGGCTAGTTTTTCATAGATCTATCGATTCATACTAATTACATTGTTGGTGGAGCTGGGTGCGTTTTGCCCATTGTCCTTTAAAGCTATTATAATTATATTTGTGTTATTATTACTTTACTGTACAGTAGTTTGCAGCTATTACTTTTTCGTCTGCGATCTATTTACAAATAAAGAAAACTATTCTGTCAGCAACGATGAACTCTTACAGATAGACGTTTCACAAGAAGTTATTAAAATGATGACATCTTTCGATAGCACATACCAAACGTAGACTTAAATATCAGGGGTGTAGAACACTTTAGCCGTGTGAGCGAAATTTTGTACTGCGGGGCTATTAGGCGACTCCGTGTTATAAGTTTCCCAATGCTATCGGGAGATGGCGCGCATCCACACCCCTTTTGACAGACGGCCGACATGGCGTCACCGTAGCAGTTGCGATATTAACCAAATTATCAGTGAGAACTTGGTTCCTATACATTTTTTACACAAATTCCACCCAACTTATTTGCAATGAACCGACATGGAAATCGCATCAATGTCAGGTACGTTTGTTTTTCTATTTTGTGGTCATTGAAATAATTGTCACAATTTTGTTACGCAAGTATTGATTGTTGGATTGGTGTCAAAGGGATACTTAGCTTGACCTCCATGAGATGTTTGAATTTATTAATTCTGATGTTATTAGCACGTCGATCCGTGTCTTTTTTGCAGTAAAAAAATTACAAAGATTTTAAATAGTTTTGTGTCAGTTTTGTGTTAGTTACGCATTATAAAATAAAAATTGGCGCATAGGTTGCTGCATTGCGTTACCTAGCAACGGCGAAAAGTGCTATGAGGAAAGTATTATAAAGACTATGAAAATTACAGTGTTGCAGTTAGTTGCGTGCGTGCATTGATAAATAAATTTATATTAGGACTAGCTGACCCAGCGAACTTCGTACCGCCATAAAAATAGGGGCAGGTGGTAGAAGAGAAAATTTAGGGTTGTACGTTTTTTTTTACCACATTATAAAAATATAAATATTGTCCAAAACAATTTAAGGGGTGTGTAACGTAGTGTTATATCGATTTCCTGGGATAACATCCTCCTAACCTCTATGAGAACACTACGTTACAATACCCAATAGTTTGAATTTTGGCGCGAAGGCGCATTGTAGGTTTCACAACACTGCGTTGCAGGTGGACAACCATTATCACTTAAGGAAATGAAAAATAGATAGTAGCCGATTCTCAGACCCACGGAATATGCATATAAAAGTTCATATAAATCGGTCAGGCCGTTTCGGTGGAGTATAGTAACTAACATTGTGACACGAGAATTTTATCTATAAGATGATGAGGTTGACATGTCTACACTTCCTACATGGAGATAAATTTTATCAATTACTTAAGTTTACTGTAAATATTTATTTGTGTAATGTTATAATTATATGTACAACGTTATTGAATTAACGTTAGATGATAAATATCTTGATAGTTACAAGCTCTCGTTTATAATTATCTATTTTCATTTATTTATTTGAAATAAGTTTGTACATAATATTACTGAGGCTTTCTGTGTTTGGTATTGTAACAAATGAAGTGTACCTACGAACTAACTTCCTTTATATATTGATATACATAAGTTCTCTTAATGAAGGGGAATTCATATATCATATTCTACTTGCGGAAAAATTTATATCCTCCTTTGAGAATAGGCGTTATAAGTTTCTAGTCACTTTAGTTAGATTGCATTTAAACCCCATAAATACTTTCACATTTACTCTAAGACTGTTTTATTAAATTTTTAAGTGAAACATTTATTACACCGCAATTTATTTGTTCGTTCGTCTTTAGCATGCAGCATTACATTTTTAATTGTTATAAAAAATCTGATTAGATTATAGAATTAGTGGTTCAGCGGTAGAAAGCTCACATGCTGCGTGGGCGGCCCGGGTTCTATTCCCAGACGGGGTTGAAATATTTTTTTTATTGATATTTAGTTTAGCTTTGAAGTTAAGTAGAATAACCCAATTTTTCACCAATTCTATTGCAAGATCACACAGTACAAGTACACATATAACTTGGTGTTTGAAATTCATGAATTTTTCAGCAGTTGTTTTTTTGAATTCTTCATTTAAATAATGTAAAATATTTGCCTTAACTCTGTATTACCTACAATGATAATGTTATTTTACAATTCTTATTATGCATTTTTTAAGCTGCAGCAGTTTGGAAGCTAGCATTTTTTTGCTATTTCTGCAAAATGTTATTAAGTAAATAAGCCCTTTTGTAAATACACTCTTCAACTATAATTGTTATTTATCAACATCAATAAAAAAATCAATCAATCGTCAGTAAATTTCCGTGTAAATATAATCATTATCCAGGAAAAAGTACCAGGAGACCATACATGTCTAAGAGGTTCTGGTTATGAAAATGGAATAAAAGTATTGTTTAATATTTGCTTATGAAAAAGTTTCTCACCAACACCGAACTGCTGATACCAAATGAGGCTCAATAGTCCGGGTGACGTGTATAATCGAAGTAACGCAACTGAAAAGTTTCAGTAGGTGTACCGAACTAACAACCGAATTTCTGCTACTGCAGGGTGTAGAATCAAATGGCACAACCTGTATTTGACGACCTCCGTGGCCGAGTGGTTTATACGCCGGGTTTCATGGCGTCGCCGACTCGAGAGGTCCCGGGTTTGAATCCCGGTGGGGGCAGATGTTTGTGTGATGAATACGAGCATTTGGATCCAGTCATGGATGTTTAATATGTATTTCATATAAATATACTTATATATGTACAATATATGTATTCTATCCGTTACCCTAGTATCCCATAACACAAGCCTTTACAGTGCTTACTTTGGGGCTAGGCTAATTGGTGTGAGTGTTGGAAATATTTATTATTATTTATTATTAAAATATTAAAAACGCGAATTAGACCCTTTTGAAAAGACTCTCCACACTGTTGTTTTGTAGCAGTTTTAATATTTGCAAAATCAAGTGTAGGTTTTTTATTAGGGGGAATAATATCATATTTAAATGATCACCAAGAATAAATTGATCCTTACAAAATATAATTGGTAACCTTACCTTCAGGTTACCAATTTAGTTTTTTAGGTGATCATTGATTATTTTTTTGAGTATCATCAAAATATTTCATATAATATATTGTTTGTCATTTTTAAAGTTTAATTTGCGTATAATATAGCATTTCACAACTAGTTTTTCCGACGAAGTGTTTAATGGTTTTGCCTTTTCTGAGTAACCTGAGGGCTCAGTCCTGGTTCAGAAAACATATTTACGAATTAACTTGTTTCCGTTATTCTATATACTTGTATAATAGATATATTTTCTTTTTGCAGGTATTGATATTTTCTTCAGACTATGGGCCGCAATAAAGGTATATTAAAGCTATAAATTACGAATTGACTTGGCCATGGACCCAATTTTAGAAAATGAAACTGCCACCTCTGACACTCCCACAAAGTATAGTAAGAAACACAAATCGAAAAAGAAAAAAAATGTGGGTGATCCACAGAAAGAAAGCCAAACAGTACTTGGCGAGAGGAAAAAATTTGTTGTAACAACTTTGTCAACATCTGATGACAACAAAGACGATCCTTCTACTAATGTGGCATCGAGTAACATTCACACTGTACATTTTGGCACCCGTGGTGTGGAATCGCAAAGGCCTCATGTAAGATCTATATTTAAGGAACGAGCAGACACCTCCAGGGCGTCTAGTGCAGACAGGGATTCTGCTGATACTAAGGAATATGAAACTTTTCATGGTACATCATCTAGTCCACGTAGTTCTATTTTTGATATATTTCGTCTTAGAAGAAAAAGTGATGCAAAAAGGCAACTAATTAAGCCTCCTAAATCTGCAGAAACACCTGAATCAACAAAAAACGAGGAAAGTGTTTCAGAATCCAAAGACTCTCATAAAAAGTATTACCATACGGTAACCGGCGTGTCTTCACGAAAATATAGTCCAATTACTAGGGTAATGGATATTTTTAGGAGTAAGCCCCATACAGACAGTAACCAAACATCTGTAGACCCGGTTAAAAAGAAAAATAATAAATCTGCGTATGGTCGCCGATCCTCCATCGAAACAACCTCACCGACCTATCATAAGAATTCATACGCGTCTTTAGATCCTACACAGGCTAAACAGTTATTTAGAGAAGTTAGAGGTCTTCCTAAATATGACCCTTATTTATCAATTGTTCAAATTTCATTAGGCGGAAGAGATAAAACTCGATTGTTATTAAATTTTTTCAGGTACCATAAGTGTTATGAAATTTTACCTAAATCCGCAAAAGTAATAATATTTGATACGCAATTTTTAGTAAGAAAGACATTTCCTACGTTAATTTCACACGGTATAAGATCGGCTCCTCTCTGGGATGAAAATAAAAAATTACTCGTAGGGATGATCACTGTTACAGATTTTATAAGAATTCTTCTACATCTTGAAGCTGAAAATATATCAGTGGAAGATTTAGAACGACATACTTTACATAATTGGAGAAAAATATTGCGGTCAATAAGAAAGCCTTTGTGTTGTGTTGGCCCCGACCAATCCTTACATGAAGCAATTAATTTATTACATAAAAATCGTGTCCACCGCCTTTTAATGGTTGATCCATATACTGGAGACGTATTGTATATATTGTCACATAAAAGAATATTAAGATTTTTATTTGTATATCTTAATGAATTTCCTGAATTAACATTTTTCCATAAAACCATGGTAGATTTGAAAATAGGTACCTATGATGATATAGTATCCGTGACCGATAATATGACGATAAAATCAGCGTTTCAACTTATGTTAGAGAAAGATATCTCTGCTTTACCAATATTGGACGAAAATGGTATTCTCATTGAAGTATATGCGAAATATGAAGTATTAAATTTAGTCAGTGAAAAGCTATATTCTAACTTGTCATTAACGATAGGGGATGTTAGAAACAAAAAGAAAGACTGGGAAGAAAAATTACAAAAATGTCGTTCGAGTGTTACGTTATATGAGGCCTTAGAAGTTATAGTTAGAACTGAGAGTCATCGATTATTGTTAGTTAATAAGGAAGATAAACTTATAGGAATTGTTTCACTGTCAGATATTTTAGTATATTTGAATAGAATAATACCCACAGAGAAAAAAGTATCATCCCTTCAAGAGATATTCAGACCACTTGAAGAAAATAAAGTACCGGAATCACCAAGGGAGACTGAAAACGAAGTAATAACAATAGAAGTTCCAGTGGTTAATGCTGGAAAGAAATTAACGGTAGAGGTAGATGAGACAATACCTGAAATAAATAATTCTCCAAACGATGACATTGAATTAGAAACGACTAAAGAAGCTGTTGAAACAAATCAAGATGATATTAAAGAAGTAAACGTTACAGTAAATGGTAATGATATTATTACAAACGAAGACCCTGCCATAAATTCACTCAAAGGTGATGAACATAATAATGTTATCGAAGATGTAAATAAGTAGTAGATCAATTTTTGAATCCAAAGAAATTGTGATAGGTGATATCGCCGAGTTATTTAATCTCAAGATAATTATGCTTTCGCTTGTATATTGATATTGTAATTTAACTTTAATCATTAATAGTTGCATCAAATACCACATGATTGCCTTACTCATCAATTGAATAATTCATTGAAAACATTGCTGAAACTCAATAAAATATTTTAGCAGTACTTGTGTGTATTTATTTTTCCAAAATTTAAAAAAGAACCATGTTTAAAAGAGATGGTCCAATTTGTGCTGCGTTTTGTAATTGAAACTAAATAAAAATATTGATTTAACGAAACAATTAAATTAAAATAGTACAGTTTTATATAAGAACAAACAAATGTTTTAAAGATTGATTGATGGCAAACCAAGTTAAAAAAAACTACTTTTTTTTGGTTTTGTCACTTAGTTATAGAGAATCTTTACAATATATTAGCAAAATAAATTTTAATGATGTATAAAATATTTGTGTATTCAGATATTATGTTTTAAGTGAGCTCAGAAAAGATTTCTTAAGTTTAACACAAAATGTAAAAGGCACTCCCAGTAGAGATCAGCTTTAATATAAGATCAGGTGTGGCCAGTTGATCGAAAGCGTTTGCTACAGAAACCTGTTAAATAAACTTACAAGGACATTTACGTTGTGTGCGAATATAAAACATCTAGGTACATTTTATTTTATTTTGAAATATTTACGCATGATGCATAGAGTTGATAAATACCCTATTTTAAAAATGTTTACTTGAATTAGTTTATTAAAAATATAGGGACATTAGCATTTAAAAAAATCTATCTGCATTATGCATAAATATGATTATATCCATTTCAGGAAAATTATTAGTATTTTTGTATCTTCTTTTCGCCTTCGAGGGTAAACTCCAACTATGTGGTGGGTGGCCTAGCCTACTCGTAGATTAAATCTTTTCATTCGTGCTATTAATTATTTAGTGTTTTGACTGTGATATAGAGATGCGTCGCAGGTTTTTTTCTAGAACTTTACATTTTACGGTTTTAATAAGTATGGAAAATAAATTAATTGTAAAATTTTACCATTAGGTATATGAAAATAACTATTGCCTCACTAACCAAAACAAATGTATATAATGTTAAAGCAGCAGTGTATCACCGCCAAACCCGCAAAAAATATTAATAGCAGGAAAAAAATAATATGTATGCGTATAGTTTATGATATCTTTCACCTCTATCTGTGTGCATTAGTTTAAAAGCGCACCATATAAGTCATAATCTGTGAAATATCAAAGTATATTTTTGTTTTAAGTTTCGTGTTATGAGCTTCACATTGTCGCAAGTTAATATCACTTTTAATTACAATTTTGTAATTAAAACTTACGACAGTCAACAAATCAACAAATGCTCATTAAATAGAAGAAAATTTAAAAGAAAACTTTGGATTGGTTGCAACAGCTCCTTGTAATATAAATGTAATATGCAGCTGAATGCAACAGGAGACGCAGCGACCGGTCTTGAGGAGAATCGAACCCGGAACAATCACTCCGACCAAGGTCAGATCGTGTGTTTTACTTTTAGCCTGTATTTTTTTATGTTTCATCTTAGTTCTAAGCGATCGCGTTCACTAACATAAAGTGTTTGTAATTCAATACTTTCATACACGAGGATTATTACGACACCGATTTATTTGCATATTATGTATGAGTGAGTTTCGTTTCTCGTAATAGTTTTAGATAAATGATAGGTACTAATAATACTTCACAATTATAGCCATTAAACTTTGATCAAATATTTCTTTTTAGCTCCACGTGATCCTTTTAAAGTTTGTAAGTAATTTGTTTATGTTTATTTACATATTAATAAAACTTGGGATAGTAACAAGTAAGTATAAATATGTTACCTAACCACTTAATTGATAACATGTATTGGTTTTTATTACATTTAGGTAACAGATAATATGCATTATTATAAGTAATTAAAAAGAAAACGAAAATATTCTTACAATATTGAAATAAGATAGGAGCTGCATCTTATAATGCCCAGTTTTTGCCATTATTGAAACAAATAAAAAAATATTAATATATTAAAAAAATTGGAGGAGTGCCGTGGAATAATCAGTTGGAACGAACTTAAAAATATCTCTTATCTATTAGACAAGTCCGTCTGTCTGTGGTGCTGTTTCAGCGGCCAAACCGTAAGAGATAGATAAAGAGAATATTTAAGTTATAAGTTAAGAATAGTCTGATAAGACTACAAACCGGATTTGAGTAACGTAGCACTTCCGGTTTTCGAGAAATCAGGTTTTAGTGAACATTTGGTTCACTGGTTTGCTAGTTTATATACTAATCTACACTCGGCCCGCATGACAAGTCATGACCCAATCTCCCTATATCATAAAAAATTATCTTGCCTACCAATCCGCCCTGGGTAATATGTGTAATTGTTATTATGAAAGTTTAAAAGTGGACCATCCTAGAAACCGTGCCATCTTGTTTGCAGGTAACTTATTTTAATAACTGTTAATATTCACGAAATAAACAGTTTTGCAAAACTTTTTTTATAATTTAGCTATGTGTTCCACTTGTCTACACGTTCCCAAAACTCGTCCGATTGCCGTAACATCGCCTAGCCGGTGTTAGCTATAAAAGAGGATAACTTGTCAAATTAACATACAAAATCGAGTTAGTGGCTCCCACTCGTTGGAAACCGGTAAGCCACTTGACTGGCTAGGTAAATATGGAAGCTTGTCGCGCGCGCGATTGTGAGACGAATCTGCCTACACCACGTCGGCCCAGGCTATTCAACAATCAAATATGACTAAGGTTGGCAAATTGAACATGTCTTTATGTTTTATTTTAATGAGTATTTGAATACAAACAATTTGTTATAACAATAAAATGTAATAACAGTAAACGTAATGGCTTATACCTCAGTGTATTTTGAAGACGAAACACTCATTATTATGAAGAAATTTAATTGATAGGACTAATGTAATTTACGTTAATTGTGTAATTGAAACATGTTTTGAAAAGGATTAAACTTTGCTTACATGTAAACAAGAGTTAATTAACATAAAGTTTAATCCATTTCAAAATATGTTTTTACCCATTGAAGATCTGACGACCTTTAGCTATTGTTTTAGGATAGCAAACAAAACTAATACTAGTGCCATCAATAAAGTGTAGCAATGAAAGTAATATTAATACCAATATTTATTTATAACATACGAGAATTTATGTAACGTAATAATAATTTCTGATTTACTTTTGAACATTACCAAAGAGCAGTAGAACTTATAAAGTAATGCAAGGATGCTCTGTCATTTCTTACCTATACGCGCATACAATCGTTTATAGGTTACAAATAATATTACCTATGTCTCAATTAATTTCGTATTTTATATTACTATACTGTTTACTGTAAAAAGATTTATCGAAAGTGAGGTATTGTATAGTGAGGATCTACAGACAAAACCCATAAAATAATATTTAATGAGTATAAATAAAGATTAAAAAATGTTTATCGAAATTACTCTCTGATAAGCGTTTGCTTTGAGTCAACCCTATCTTCTTTTATAATGCAGTTTGGTCATAATGCATCAATAACACATCATGAAATCCTAAATATCCATTAGGTAAGAGTTAGACAATGATAATTTGAATATATTGGTTATGGTTAGCAAGACAACAGCGACAGCTTTTCGTTTCGATAAATATAATTTATTAATCTAGATTAAACTTCATTGTTTGTAGTTGTAGTACCTTAATTTCATCCATAATTATAGTAGCATTATGCTTATAAATCTGGAGAAACATTTGGGTTATCAAATAAAACAACACATTTAAGGGCTCCGTTTCTAAAAACTAAATTCTTATGACCACTTCGTTGTGCTTCTGTCTGTCAAGAACATTTTTCTCAAGTACGGAAAGAGGGATTAAGCTAAAATTTTCGGGTCTGCTATCCTTCGGAGCAGCGAAATAGCAGATTGTTTCCTTAGTAAACAATGAGCAAAGAAGGAAAGAGAAGAGGCAAAGAAGAAGCAAAGAATTATTTTAAAGGCGAGAGCTTATTTTGAATCCAGGGCGAGTCACTCGAGGTGGACAATCTACTTTTATTACACTCTATGAGAAATCTCTTTGGTGATTGGAACTTTTACTAACAATATGCACATTCCTAATTCAAATCACATTTAGCCCCAGGGATTAAAACGCTATTTTGGTCCCTATTAAACTATAAACACAGAAGACTAGCTTTACTCAAATGATAATTGAAAGTTAAAACGATCAAAAGATACACAAAAGTGTCAAAATATGAGGCATACCATATGCCTCATATTTTGACACTCGTAAGGTAACCAAAACCCGTTCGTTATTTATAAAAGTATGTATGTGTTAGAGAACAAGTATAAAGAATAATAAATAAGAAGAATTAAAAAAAACTTGGATTTTTTAAAATACCGGGATAAATCGTTGAGTCTTGTTTCCGTGTGGAACTATTTACATACCTGCTATTATGTTTGTACGGAATACGGAACCCTCAAAGCTCAAGGCGCTTTACTGGCTATTTGAAATCTACAGTAGAAGGCGTATTATTTTTCGAATTTAATTTTAATATTTCTGCGGTAATTTTCGTAGCGTGTTGTAACGTTACGATAAGCGGCTCGTAGATAGAATTTGTAGCAAATATTTTGTATTTTCTGTGATTGCCATAGTTGAACGCAATATCTGAATTACAAAAAGACTTAAAAAAGAGCTTTCAATTAATCAATTGAAATAAACTTTATTTTCATTTCATTCCAATTCATATCTAAATTAAAAAAAATATAGAGCACCAGTCAGGTACTTGTCATTAATCTCTTTCATACATGAAAGTTAAATTACTTCTACGCTATTTCAGTATAAGTGGGGACAAAATTGTTTGTCTGGAAATGTATTACGAAAGCGTTGGACGTTATTACATCGAAATATTTACTCGTAATCCGTGTGACATATATTTTTATCTGTCATTAATATTGAAGTTTAAAATAAGTACTGGACAATGTCGCAATTTTATAAATAACTATCCTCCAAATAGCTTTTCGAAATATATATACATATTTGTATATATCCTGAGATACACAGATTAATTTTTTAATTAGAAATATGACAGTCAT